TGATGTACAATTAGTGTAGAAAATAATTGTATGTTTTAATTTTGACCAACGTTAAACTAAGGCATGCAATTATTGTTGTTATTTCTGTTCTCACCCTATTTGAATTATGTTTTCAGGAGGATACAACTTGATGAGTTGTATCAAAGAAATCCCCACTCTAAAAGGTGATAACTATGTTGAGTGGAAGAAAAAGATAGACCTGGCCTTTATCCTCGCTGAGGTGGACTGGGTTGTCACCACACCGTGCCCTAAAGAACCTGTGGCACCGGTGAGGGAGACTGATGAGACTGATGTTGCATGGCAGAATAGAGAGCGGGATTTTGCTCCCGTAAAGATGTCCTATGACCTTGAGCATAGGAAATGGGTCACTGCCAACAAGAAGTGTTTGGCAGTGATAAAGAACACAATTGAGCCTGCTATTGTGGGCTCAATTCCAGACTGTGACACGGTCACAGAGTACCTAGATAGAATAAAGAGTCAGTTCACTGGCTCTTCAAAGACATATGCAACCCAGCTGATCAAGCAGCTGGTTACAGAAAGGTACTCTGGTGGCGGCAGTGGCATTAGAGAGCACATACTGAGAATGAGCAATCTGGCATCTAAGCTCAAACCAATGGATTTGGCACTCAAGGATGAGTTTCTTATTCATTTGATTTTTGCTTCTTTGCCCAAAGAATTTGACACCTTTGTTGTTAATTACAACATACAGCCTGAAAAATGGGATTTAGAAAAGCTCATAGCCATGTGTGTGCAGGAGGAGGAAAGAATAAAAGTTTCACAAGGTGGTTCTGTCAACTACCTAAAAGATAAGAAAAAGAACTACTCTTCCTCCAAATCATCTGGAAAAGGTCCTATGCAACAGTCTCAGAACCAGCAATTCCCAGTGGCTAAAGATCAGTGTCTCCACTGCAAGAAGACGGGACATTATAAAAAGAACTGTCCCGATTTCCTAAAGATGATAATGAAGAATAAAGGTGAGAACATTATTACGTTTGTAAATGAATCCTTGTATGTAAAGTTTTCAAAATCTACTTGGTGGATTGATTCAGGTGCAACTATTCATGTTGCTAATTCATTACAGGGATTCCGTTTGATGAGAACTTTGCAAAGAAGCGAAAGTTTCATTAAAGTTGCAAATGGAGAACAAGCAGATGTTGAGGCCGTTGGTGATCTTCCGTTAGAGCTTACTGATGGCTTCATAATTATTCTTAGAGATGTTCTTTATGTACCTTCTTTGCAAAGAAATTTGATTAGTGTTTCAAAGTTGGACCATGATGGTTATGATTGCCATTTTGGAAATGGCAAATGTCAGATATTGTTTAATAATAAATGTATTGGTCTTGCCTTCCGACAAGACGAGCTTTATTTGTTATCACTTCGTGAAAATGTTAATTCCGTATGTGATGTGAATGAAAATGTATCCTCATCGAACAATGGAAACAGAAAACGAAAGAGAGCTCAAGATGCGTTGTCGAAATTATGGCACTGTCGTTTAGGCCATATTTCGAGGGGGAGAATAGAAAGACTAGTTAAGAATGATATTCTTCCTCCATTAGAGCTCTCGAGTTAGAACAATGTAGAGATTGCATAAAAGGAAAGTATGTAAAGAAAATTAAGAAAGATGCCAAACGGCGCAGGAATTCTCTGATTATTCACACGTACATATGTGGTCCTTTTCACGTGAAAAGTGTGGATGGTTATGATTCATTCATAACATTCACGCATTTATTACTCTCGGTTTGGCTACATTTATCCAATTAAAGAAAGAATGTAAGCGCGTTGGATAAATTTAAAATATTTAAAGCAGAAGTTGAAAATCAGCATGATTTAAAGATTAAGATAGTCAGGTCTGACCGTGGAGGAGAGTACTACGGTCGGCATACCCCATATGGACAAGTTCCTGGACCTTTTGCAAGGTTCTTACAGGAGAATGGTATAGTCGCCCAGTATTCAACACCGGGCGAACCTCAGCAGAATGGAGTAGCTGAAAGGCGTAACCGTACCTTGATGGATATGGTGCGTAGTATGATAAGTTACTCCACTTTACCCACGAGTCTATGGATGGAGGCGTTAAAAACCGCCATTCATATTCTCAATAGAGTACCAAGTAAGTCGGTGCCCAAAACACCGTATGAGTTGTGGACAGGAAGAGTACCATCACTTAACCACTTGCGTGTGTGGGGGAGCCCTGCTGAGGCTAAAGTTTTTAACCCAAACATTGGGAAGCTAGATCCCAAAACAGTGAGTTGCCATTTCATTGGCTACCCAGAAAAGTCAAAAGGTTTTCGTTTCTACTGTCCTAACAGACATACAAAGTTTGTGGAAACGAGATATGTCTTTGTCTTCCTAGGATGATGAAATGATTAGGGGGAGCATGGTAGCTCGAGAAATTGACCTTGAAGAGAAGCGGGTGTATGCACCCACTCCGATCATTCATGAGCCATTTTCTCACTACTGCTTTATTCTTTGCCAACAAAGATAAGACAACAATGTGGTGCCAAAGACTTTGTTATCCCTTTGTGACAACAATGAATGATGATGAGGAACCTGTTTCTCAGGATCCTATAGAAACTATTGCCACACATGAGGGGATGCAACAACAGCCTCAAACAGAAAATGTGCCAAATGAGGAGGCCCCTAAAAGGTCTCAAAGAGTTAGAAAATCAGCTATTCCTGCTGATTATGAAGTGTACAATACTGAAGAATTTCAAATGAAGGATGATCCCACCTCATTTGAAGAAGCCATGAAAAGTGATCATTCATCAAAATGGCTTGAGGCCATAGAAGATGAAATGAGATCAATGAATGCAAATAAAGTTTGGGATTAGGAGATAATTCCTAAAGGAGCCAAAACAGTAGGCTGTAAATGGGTCTACAAAACAAAACTTGACTCTCAAGGGAATATAGAAAGATATAAAGCCCGACTTGTGGCAAAAGGCTTTACACAAAGAGAAGGGATTGATTACAATGAGACTTTTTCTCCAGTCTCGTGTAAGGATTCCTTCAGAATCATAATGGCATTAGTGGCACATTACGATTTGGAATTACATCAGATGGATGTAAAGACGGCATTTCTCAACGGAGACTTAGAGGAAAATGTTTACATGGCACAACCGAAAAGTTTTGTCATGGAGGGAAAAGAACGTTTGGGATGTCGCCTAAAGAAATCTATTTATGGATTAAAACAAGCTTCAAGACAGTGGTACTTGAAGTTTGATCAGACAATAAAGAATTTTGGGTTTAAAGATAATATTGAGGACAATTGTGTCTACGCAAAGTTTAAGAATGAGAAGTTTATCTTCCTTGTCCTGTATGTGGATGATATCTTACTTGCAAGTAGTGATGTCAGTCTACTACTGGAAACAAAGAAGTTTTTGTCCTCAAAATTTGATATGAAAGATCTTGGTGAAGCTTCGTTCGTTCTAGGGATCGAGATTCACCGAGATAGAAGTAAAGGGGTATTAGGACTGTCACAAAAGGCATACATAGAAAAAGTATTAAAGAAATTCAGTATGCACAAATGTAGTCCCTCACCTGCTCCTATAGTCAAGGGCGACAGATATGGGGATTTTCAATGTCCCAGGAACCAATATGAGATCGATCAAATGAAAGTGGTTCCATATGCTTCAGCGCTCGGAAGCTTGCAATATGCTCAAGTATGTACGCATACCGACTTGGCATTTGTTACCGGTTAATTAAGGCGATTCCAGAGCAATCTCGAATAGAACACTCAAAATTGGTAAAGAAAGTCTTGCGTTATTTGCAAGGAACGAAAGGCCTCATGATGACATCTGACGAAGATCCGATTCACTCCATATAGTGGGATATTCAGATTACGATTATGCGGAGATAATAGAAAATCCACGTCTGGATATGTATTCACTCTCGCAGGGGAGCTATTTCATGGAAAAGCTCAAAGCAAACCGTCACTACATCGTCCACAATGTATGCCGAGTTTGTAGCGTGTTATATGAGGCAGCAGGGCGGTGAACTGCTAAAGAAGTTCATACCCGGTTTAAAGGTGGTTGACGACATCAATAGACCATCAAGTTATATCGCGATAATAATCCAAAGAAGATGAGTATGCTCACAACAATAGGTCAAGTGGTGCTGCCAAACACATTGACATAAAGTACTATGTTGTGAAGGATAAATTCGGAATCAAATGATAAGTCTTGAGCATATAAGTACCAAAAAGATGCTCATGGATCCGCTTACAAAAGGCTTACCACCCAACGTGTTCGAGAGAACATGTAGCCGGCATGGGTTTAAGGAAAGCCTATGATTCCCGGACTATAAAGGGCCCAAAAGTTAAAGTAACTATTTCGGATCGAGACGTGCATTGTAGGCAAGTTAAATCTATCGGCGATTGACCGTGACGATGAGACATGCTCTATGCATCATCTGTGAAGAAATGAGTAAGGATAAAAGGATTGAAGTTTAAAGTTTAAAGATAAAAGTAATGGTGAGATCAAGGGGGAGAATGTTAGATTGATCTCATAACCAATAAGCCCAACGGCTTATTGGGCCTTGGTCACACGCCCTGATCGGGGGCGCCCAACCCTACATGGTTGGTGGGCCCCGTCGCACTGCGCTATATAAAGAGGTGGGGGCCGGCGGCTCAAAGCACGAGGTTCGCCGTGAGCCGCAAACCCCACCGACAAACCCTAAACCGATCTCGAGAGGGCGCGCAGCCAGCGACGGGAAGCTCCGCTGATCCTCGTCGTCGCCATCGCCTTTCGCCCGACCGCATCGCATCGCATCGACGTCCGTGCAACCTCTACTCCACCCGTCGCTGCCCGTGTGCTGCCTCCATCACCGAACCCGCGATGGCTAGCACAACCGCGACATCATCTGGAGGCTCAGGTTCATCACCAGCCCTCTCTCCCCTATCTCTCTCGGTGTAGTGTTTTAGGTATAAATGTGCATGTGTTTCATGGATCTATGAGTTCATCCACTAGATCTACTCTAGTAGATCCAAAGAATGTTAACAGGAGACCATGAGCTACTTCTTCGAGGACATCCAGAAGGAGCGGCCGGTGCGGTTCAGCTCGCAGCAGCTGCGCGCCTTCACTCGGAACTACGCCCACAAGGTCGGGTCCGGCGGCTTCGGCGTGGTGTACAAGGGCCGGTTCCCGAACGGCGCGACGGTGGCCGTGAAGGTGCTCAACAGCACGCTGGGCAGCAAGCGCGCCGAGGAGCAGTTCATGGCGGAGGTCGGCACCATCGGCCGGACCTACCACATCAACCTCGTCCGCCTCTACGGCTTCTGCTTCGACGCCACGGTGGAGGCGCTGGTGTACGAGCACATGGAGAACGGCTCGCTGGACGGGTACCTGTTCGACCCGCCTCCCGAGAAGACGGTCGGCTTCGGCAAGCTCTACGAGATCGCCGTCGGCACGGCCAAGGCGCTGCGGTACCTGCACGAGGAGTGCGCGCAGCAGATCATCCACTACGACATCAAGCCGGAGAACGTGCTCCTGGGCGCCGGCCTGGCGCCCAAGGTGTCCGACTTCGGGCTGGCCAGGCTGTGCGGCAGGGAGGACACCCACCTGACCATCACCGGCGTGCGGGGCACGCCCGGGTACGCCGCGCCCGAGCTGTGGATGCCGCTGCCGGTGACGCACAAGTGCGACGTCTACAGCTACGGGATGCTGCTGTTCGAGACGCTCGGGAGGCGCCACAACCTGGAGCTCGGGCTGCACGCCCGCGAGAGCCAGGAGTGGTACCCGCGGTGGGTGTGGCACCGGTTCGAGGTGGGGGACACGGACGCCGTGGTGGGGCGCGCCGCGGCCACGGGGGACAAGAAAGATAGGGAGGCGGCGGAGAGAGTGTGCAAGGTGGCGCTGTGGTACGTGCAGTACCGGCCGGAGGACAGGCCGTCCATGGGCAGCGTCGTGAGGATGCTGGAAGGGGAGGACCAGATCGCCGCGCCGCGCAATCCGTTCGCGCATCTGGCGCCATACAACTCTAGTGCGATTCAGTTGTCCGGAGACACCCCCACCACCGCGGGTTCCTATGGTTCCTCAGACCATGTGCTTAGTGCTAGGTAGGTAGATGTAAATTGTTCCGGTCCTAGTCTCCTCTTAGCAAAGAATCGTGTAATTATCACCATAGTTTCTTATTCGATCTGATTTACGTCCCCAATATATTGCAATTGGCGCGATAACCGCTTGCTACTCCATCCGTACTACTAGTATGTCTTATCCTAAATATTAGTCAAATTTCTTTTCTTTCCTAAATATAGTGGATATATAAGCTCATGCCTAACTGCATGTGCAAGACACATAAACCAGGCCCATGCGAGGCCAAATACGGACGGCCAAAAGCAGAGCTTAATTTTGGCCGGTCAACGCCACTGGCAGGGTACTCACGGGCACAATCTAAACACACCTTAAATTTTGCCATTTAAAACCCTAGAATTCCCTTTTACACCATTTGAATCGTCAAGATTTATCTTTTCTACGCAACATATCTGGGAAAGAAAGTAAGCTTTTCCATATGAGCTCCTGTGGGGGTAATATGGGCGTGTTTGATTTGGGCCAAAAGGGTGGCCCTGCGCCCCCAGCTGCAGTTCCCCGTGTTTGATTTCCTGGGCCCATCAGCGAGCTCGGCCCGTCAGGTTTCGTTTTTTGACGGCCCGGCTGGCTACGGCGCTGAAGGGCGTATTCCGGTCACCTCCGAGTCCCCTGTCTTTCATCCACCGCTCCCTTTCTTCCACCGAGCCGGCCGCGCCGAACGTCGTACGAGGAGGCCGCGGCGGCGCCGTCGCACCACGCTGGGCCTAGATCGGCGGAGACCGGGCGCCTCCTGGCCGGCTTCCTCCCCGGCGACCACTCCTGGCCAGCTTCCTCCCCGGCGCCTCCTGGCCGGCTTCCTCCCCACCAAGCTGGTCGCGACCGACGACTCCGATGCCGCCTCGGACCGCTCGTCGGTGGCTAGCGAGAGCGACACGCAGCTGCCGAGGTCGTCCGGTCGTCTGCGCGGTCATCCTGCTTCTTCTTCGCCTTCTCCACTTCCCGGTCGTCCGCGCGGGAAGGCAGAGGCTCCGGCCACCGGACGGGTCTTGCGCTTCTTGCTGAAGCAGCAGCCCCTGTCTCCAGCTGTGGCGTGCGCGGTGGCGGGGTCGACCGGGCGAGGTTGCGCGCCGGGAGTGCTACGGCGACGCGAGCAGAGCCATGGCCAACACGCCCCAGTCGGCGCCTAGTATGTGCTCGACGGAATGCCAACAAGAGACAGGGGTAACGCCACCATACTCTGGATCATAAGGTGATCCTATCCATCTATAAGTTCTATCAAACACGATCCCAACTCAACCTGGCTCGTTGAATTAAACAAGTGAGGGTGCACCATGGTAGCCGGGCTTGAGCTGGCCATAGCCAGGCCAGCTGGCCGTGCCGGCCAGAGAGAGAGGAAATCAAACATGCCCTATTTAACCCAAATACTTCCTTCCGGCCACGCACGCTCATCCGAATCGGCACGTACACTGAATCTACGGTTGATTTCTTCGTAAACCTTTGTCGACCGTCGATCTATCATGCGGTCTTTGGTCTCCCATCCACACAGTGGGACCCGGCAGCCGCATGTGCGGCGGCGTCAGATACTAGAGGGATCGCTGCTCGCCGATGGCGCCATGTGCGGCGCGCTCGCATACAGAATTACAGAAACGAGCGGGTGCGTGCGTTACGACTTGGACCACGGGTTAATTAGGGGATGAGCAGTTAGCTTAATTGAGCTGCTTCCGTGTATGGTGTAACGGTAGCAACTTAGCTAAAAAAGGAAAGGAGCGGAAGAGCCTACCAAAAACGGAATGTGCAGTCGGATGGATCAAAAACTGCATGCGCATGCTGTAGCAAAGTTCAATATTTAAATAGAAACTATAGAGCTCGACAAGATTAATAACTTTGAAGCTCACAATACAATGAACCCGGGCGCACTTTGTTTAACTAGCCCAGTCGGTCCGCTTTCTTCGTGGCTCCTGTGGGCCACCACTAGACTATTCTGGTGGCCCAAGAACTTCTCTACTAGGCTATCACGAGAGGTCCAGAACCTAGCACCGGATAACTTCATTACCTGACACCAAACAAAATGCCTCCAAGTTTGAACTCTCTCACTCGTGCGTCAGCCAGCCACGTCCCCCCTCTCCCCTCTAGGATAGCTTTCTCCGGTGCCTCACACCTTGGGTGCACCAGAAATCCGATGCAACTCTAGGCACAGAAAAAAGCACAACGCAGTGTACGTTGCCCTTTCTGTGGTGGTCTTTGCAGGCCATAATTGAACTATTCCGGTGGTAGCAGAGACACTCCACCGAGCTCTGTTTCAAAACCTTTTCCAAATGCACTAATTCCAAATGCTATCGCGTAAGATCACTAACACCTTCAACCTTGAGTTGGCATTTTCAAAGTCATCTTGCAAAGGTTTTCTCTCTCTCCTTTCCACGCCACTCAATCTAAATGCATCACAGAGTTAGATATCACCTAGTGGCACTAGATAGCCGATTAGCCAACAAGAAAGCCCCTCTTGATAGTACTATATTTCCTAAACCTAATCAAGAACTTCTCTACTCAACCTTAGACCAGTGAAATGAAATAACCTATAAATATACCTTTGCCTTGCGTGTTCTATTTTCACTTCGTGTTGGTGACGCCACACAATCATCCAACCTCAATCTTCATCTTCCAATGCTGAACAATGGTCATGGATGATTGTAGCCAACCATGCTACCTTGACCATTGCCCATAGCATGAAGCTCCTCCATCACCCCTCCATCAAGCCACTTGATCATCAACACTTCACTTGATCACCTTGGAATGATGATATGATCCACTTCATAGCTTCACATGGCCTTATTGGTCTATTGATCGTAGCCTTGCTTGCTCTTCACCTTTGCCTCGCTCCATCGGTACCAAGTCCTCTACTCGCACTTCACCTCGACAGTGCATCACACCCGAGCCTCTAGCTTGCCCTTCACTCATGCAATCGGTCGTTCGCCTAGCCATATGTGAGAGTATACCATGTCTCATATACAATAAACTCATTCATCTTCACTCATTGAGCACTTGCATCACATGCACATCATTGCTTGCTCAACCTAGCGTGTGTGGACCAAGTACCTATTCATCTCACATAAAAGACATTAGTCTATCTAAGGTTGTCACTTAATTATCAAAGTCAAACCAAGACTTTTAGAGTTCAAGACACAGCTGTTGTGTTGGATTGAGCCATGGGTAGACACAACTTACACTTGGGTCGTTGACAATATTTGGACAAGTCCTTTTGCCCCCCCCCCCCGACTATGTTCGAAGTCCATGTTTCCTCAAACACCTAAAAAACAGATGTTGTCCCCCCCCCCACCCACCCATCCACACACTTTTTAAAACCGTTTGTTTTTTCAACTTAAGCAATTCAGATGGAGATTTTAGCCTACATGTCACCATGCCAACTGTGAGGAGGTAAAATGAACTACGTTAAGAGGTTAGGGACCAAAAAAATTTACCAAGGAACAATTATAAAAATACTTTATTTTGAAAATTTATCAAAATACTTTTATCTAGAAAAGTTACACTTTATTTTTTTCCTAAAATGAGCTCTAGCCACTACTACGAGCCGAGGATGGACCTCGTCCACCCTCCCGACCCATCCCCTGCCCCCAACGACATCGGCGGCGCACCTCCGTCGATCTACCTCCCTGCTGCACACCAGCCCCTTCCAAGCCCAGATCCAAGCTCCCAGCTTTCAGATCTATCGATCCATGGGGATGGGGCTGCCACCACGATGCTCCTTGGCGTGTCCACCGGGTCGACTTCCACCCCCATCCACCTCAACTCGTCGACAGCCACTCCGGCACCGCCGGCCACCTTTGACGCATGAAAGGTCCTTGTTTGGTTTTGGCAATTGAGTGACAACCTAGGTGGACTAATATGTGTTTAAGTGAGATACACAGATGATTAGTCCACAGGCACATATGTGTGAGCAATACATGCCATGGAGGTTAGATGGCTTGAACTTGGTGCAAAGCTCACACATGTGATGAAGGAGCTCATTGCATATGAGACATGACATGGAGTCATGTGACTAAGGTGGAGAACATCAAGACACGACTTGGCTCAACGGACCGGTTGCAAGTGTGAAGGGCAAGTTGAGTGATGACTTGGCGCCGATGGACCGAAGCAACGGTGAAGAGCAAGTGAGGTCAAGATCGATGAACCAATACGGTCACGTGATGATATGAAGTGGATCATATCATTTGTTGATCAAGGTTGGTGCATGTGTAGCATCAACATCGGAGGAAATGGAATAAAATACGCAAGGCAAAGGTATATTTGTAGGTATTTTATTTCACCGGTCAAAGGTCGTGTAGAGAAGTGCATGACCGGGTTTATGATAGATGGCTGTACTATTAAGAGGGGCAAACTTGTTTGTATATCGGTCATCTAGTGCCACTTGAGCGATCTAACTTTGCATACGTGTTAGGATCGAGTGGCGTGGTGAATTGAGTGACTAATCCTTTGGGAAATGTTTATGAAAAGCTAACACACGTGCACAAGTTGGTGAACACTTGGTGGTGTTAGCACATTTGCAAAGGTGTTAGAAAAGGTGAAGAAAAGGAGGCGAAATCGAGGCCATCTATCTGGATATATAACCCACCCCGGTCCGGCTACTTATATAACTGGCGGTGCTAAACGGACAAACTTTTTGGAGGAGTTGGTGGTCACCGCCTACCTTGGTGGTAGCAGCACCCTCCTATGCCCGGTGACCATTTGGTTGTGGCCGAGAGCAGTGTAGCAGAACCGCCTAATCTAATGCCTCACAGGAGTGCTTGTCTTCCATTAGACACTAAGCACTCAAGGGAGAACACTAAATTACTCGGTTCCGTTGGGCACACCCCATGGGAGAACCCGAAAATCCACATTTTGCCATCGGGATCACAAATGAGAGAACAAAGCTTACATCATTCTTAACCATTTCATACATCCCTTTTAGTACAACATCGAGTATAATAGTTATTGTATAACAAATGAATGTAATCATATTATCGAGTTATAAATAATTT